ATCTACTGGAGTAGAGTTAGAATGGGAAGAGCAAAGTGAAGCTTTTCTTGCCAATTTTCAAGTCAAGCCAATTTTAATTGATCGGGTGCTTGCAGCTCAATCGTTGGATGAAGAAATTCAAGAATTGATCAATTTAAGAAATGAAGGGAAGAAGAAAGATCTCAAGATCCGAGGATCAGATGGTATGCTTATGCAAGAGAACAGGATGTATGTGCCTAATAATGAGGAACTGAAGAAAGAAATCTTGGATGAAGCACATTGTTCGGCTTATGCTATGCACCCAGGAGGAACTAAAATGTATCATACCATTCGACCATTCTATTATTGGCAGGGTATGAAGAGGGAGATTGCGGAGTATGTGAGTAAGTGTATTGTCTGCCAGCAGGTTAAGGCTGAAAGAAAGAAGCCGTTTGGGAGATTGCAACCACTTCCCGTTCCCCAGTGGAAATGGGAGAATATAACGATGGATTTTGTGTATAAGCTGCCACGTACACAAAATGGTTTTGATGGCATTTGGGTGGTTGTAGATCGACTTACCAAATCAGCACATTTTATTCCAGTAAGGGAGAAATACTCTTTAAATAAGTTGGCTCAGTTATTCCTATCGAAGATTGTAAAGTATCATGGTGTCCCAGTGAATATTATTTCTGATCGAGATCCAAGATTTACTTCTAAGTTTTGGATAGCTTTTCAAGAAGCTTTGGGTACTAGATTGCTTTACAGTACAGCTTATCATCCACAGACAGATGGTCAGTCAGAGAGAACTATTCAGACACTCGAGGATATGTTGAGATCCTCTGTGATGCAATTTGGTGATTCTTGGCATGATCGCTTGGATTTGATGGAGTTTGCCTACAATAATAGTTTTCATTCGAGTATTGGAATGTCTCCATTTGAAGCACTTTATGGTAAAGCTTGTCGTACGCCATTATGTTGGTCAGAGGTTGGTGAAAGAATACTTGAAGGGCCAGAGATTGTGGATGAGACTACTCAGAATATTCAGGTAATTAAATCTAACCTGAAAGTGGCCCAGGATAGACAAAAGAGCCTAGCGGATCGACATACCACGGACAGAATGTATAATGTGGGCGACTATGTTTTTCTGAAATTATCGCCTTGGAGAGGGGTGGTTCGCTTTGGAAAGAAAGGAAAGCTAAGTCCCAGGTACATTGGACCTTATGAGATCACTGAGAGGATTGGTGAAGTTGCTTACAGGTTGGAGCTACCTCCAGAGTTGTCTAAGGTACATAATGTGTTCCATGTCTCGATGCTTCGGCATTATGTGTCAGATCCTTCACATGTGATTCCTCCTCAACCATTGGAAATTAATCCGGATTTGACGTATGATGAGGAACCAGTGACTATACTGGATTGGAAAGATAAGACTTTGAGGAATAAGACCGTGAGCTTGGTAAAAGTATTGTGGAGAAACCATTCAGCTGAAGAAGCTACATGGGAAACAGAAGAACGAATGAGAGATATGTATCCGAGGTTATTCTATGACTTTTGATGTTTTGGTTAGTGATTGGAATTTCGGGGACGAAATTCTATAAGGAGGGGAGATTGTCACAGCCCGTCCCAGAATTACTAAATACCGAGGACGTGAAATTACAGAAACGCCCTTAAACGGGATTAAGGTGCGTAAATTTGGTATTTGTTTTACACTAAGATCCTAAACTAGGGTTAGAATTATATTAGTATGTGTTAATTTAATTTGTGTTTGGACTTAGGGTGGGGTCCTACCCCCTAAATCCCTCCCCAAAACCCGTTTTTGTTGTCTCTCTCATCTCCCTAGTCACTCTCTTTCTCTTTCTTCATTTCAGAAACACTCATTCCCTCTCTCTTACTCTCATTCTCTCTCAAACTCTCGGACAAACACCCAAGACCTTGAAAACTTCACAAGTTAAGGTTGAGGAAGGTAGCATCGTGTTCGTAAGGACCATACGAACACATTGATATTATTTTCAGGTAAGATTTCCCACGATTCCATGTAGAAAACTTAAGCTCCGAAATTGCTACTGTTCATGAACTTAAATTTCGTTGTGTTTTAGGCTAAAGCAGCAGATCACCACGAGTCTTAGGAAGTCCTAAGGAGGCTCGGAGTGCCTCGTTTGAACAAAATGGACGTCGGGATCGTTGGGTTCGAGTTTGGCCGAATTTGAGGAATTTTGGAAGGTATGATCTAGTTGTTTTTAGGCCCTAAAACCCTTCCAACGTGATAGTACATGTTAAATGCTTCATTTTGGTATAAAATTCGAAGAAATTGGTTGAAAAACGAGTGAGATTAGTGGAATTGAAATTTTACCCAGTTTCCGGCGCCGGCGACGGTCGCCGGAGCTGAAGGTTGAAGGTGACGGAATATTCCGTCAAGTTTGACGGAATATTCTGACGCCGTTAGTCAGTTTTAACGGAAACCGTTAGTTTTTAACGGCATATACTAGGATTTGACGGAATATTCCCTAACGCCGTTCACTGTAGCCGTCAGTGTGCATGTCACGTGGCCGCGCGTGGGGGGCGCGTAGGTCCGTGCCACGTCAGGCGCGTGGGGGCGCGTGAGACCTCCAAAAATTATTTTAAAAATTTGGGAGTGATCCTGAGGCTGTGTAGGTCACTGTGGTATATTCATATACCCAATTTGAGCATCGTATGAAGAATTAATTACCTAGTTTGGTTTAGGTGCGTTAAATGTGCGTTAAATGATTGTTTTAAGTTATTTCACTTCTAGGTGGAACTTTTAACGAGGACGAGCACATCCAGGGGCGTCAAGGGGGTTACGACCCGGCGACATATCAGTGAGTGGGCATTGCTTTCTATATATATATACCTATATACTCGATTTCCCCATAAATCAAATTTAAATGAAAAGTATAGTGAAATGAAATGAAAAATGATTTGATTGCCATGCATAGAATGTTATGGATATTATGAACTGTCGTATGATGCATATATGTATGATGGTGCTGTGGAAGCACAGGTAAGTATTTAATTAATACTATGATGATGATGATGATATATTGAGCTCATATCCTGCACCATGGTTTAGTGCTTATAGTATTCACCGCATCGCACGCTCGCCTTGGATCCAAGTAGATGCTGGTTGTACAGTCCACGCGGAGTGGGTACGACGGGCCAGTCGTAGAGTGTTAGTGAGATTATGACTGGTGGGTGACCTTAGGTTATTGTATACAGATGATTGATGAGAGAAGCACTAGAGCGAATATTACCATGAGTCGTTCAGACTACATTAGGTGGTTCCGACTTATGTGCAGAAGGCCGGACAGGTCACGCGGAGTGACTCCGGCAGAGAGTGAGATTGATAGATGTTGAGCTCTAGGTTCAATCGTTCAGGGCTATTAGAGGGCCTCCGATTGATTATTTCTTTTACCTGATTATATTATGTTAATGCATTCATACTAAACTGTTGAAATTGGCATGGTACATTCTTTATTGAATCTGTTATAAGATTGATGATTGAGACAGTTGAGATATATATATGCTATATACTATTTTTCTGGGAAAGTATACAGGTTTTCCAAAAAGGGGTTATAAATGTGGATTTATGAAATGATTTGGAAAAGCTTATTTTCGCCCACTCACGTTTTCTGTTTTTCGCCCCTCCAAGTTCTAGTTGATAGTTGAGGCGTTGGTGGCCTACGAAGACTGCTTCGGCGTTCTGACAGACTAAATAAATGTAGGATTCACCCGAGGGTGTTGTAAATTAGTTATGTTCCTACTTGACTGCACCTAGATGCTTATGCTCTGTTTATGTGTGTTTAGTACACTCTTATGCACATAGAATGCTAGGTTGTAAATAACTGCAATTAGTGGTTTTCGTTGACTCGTATTTTATTATTAAATCGTTTCCGCTTGCGTTATGGTTACGTCACGCTCACGTGACGGCCAGCACGTCCTAGTCTTCGGGTTAGGGTGTGTCACTAACCCTAAACAATTTAAGTGGTAGTTTACCAGACAATATTTGCCAACATCTTCCAAGCATTCGGGGGTTGCATTTGCCGCACAACCAGTTTGATGGAGGGTGAACGTAGGATAAATACTATGGAGTGTTTGATTATTGTGTGTGTGTTTATTAATAAATTTTAGTTTTATTGTTTATTTTATCTTGTACTTAATAGTAATTATGTTATAGGGTAAAAAAGACAATTCACTTTTAAAGTTTAAGTTAGGTGTAGAAAGAGGTTATATGGGTTCAAATAAAATTTCCCTTTCCCTTTTCAATTGATAAAGAATTTTTGGGATTGGAAAATGTATATATAGACGGAGAAGGAAATAAAGCTTTTATAATATCCAAATTATTCTTCAATCATTATGATTTTACAAAATATATTTTAATACAACTAACACAATCCGACCTGAATATTTACGTGGATGTCGAAGTCGAAGTGTGTTATGCGACACCTAAAGAGTGACGAAGATTTAATGTAAAAGTGATGTGTAAAAACTAAAAAGTACAAATAAATTAAAATAAGAGTATAAAAATAGAGTATAAGAGAAGAGTATAAAATAAAGTAGTTAGAATATAGTGAACTATTAAATAAATGTATGTAATGGAAACTAGAGATACCAAATTGACGTTAAAGCATCAAGATTTATAGCGGAACAATACTAATGTAACAATCCGAAGATATTAATTACAGTTTACTAAGAATAATCCTTGCACTAATGAGAGAAAAGTATATCACCAAGCCTCGATATCTAGAGCTCAGGGCGCAATACAAAATGTGTATTGTGCAAAAATAAAGATTTTAAGCCGTCTTGTCAACCATTTTACAAAGTCTCAGTTATAACCCTATTTAAATTAAATTAAAGAAAAACAAAATTAACTAAAAAGGGAAAATGCATACATTATTATCATTAAACAACTACAACATAAAGCAAAAGATCACCCAACGTTTCAAGACAGCAGAAACCCTTCTGGCTTCTAGTACTTAGCACTAAGAAAATTACAGACTCAAACATTTTACTAGGGATTTTAGCACACGTTATTTCTGTGCCATTAGGTTATGGATATCCTCGGCCACAGCCGTTGAATCCGTGAAAATCCCCGGCAGTCCATTCCCTGCTAATCCAACACAGTAAACTCCCTTCTCGCCCTTCCAGTGGTTTGGATAATTTCCTTTAGGCTTTCCATCGTCATTAAGGAGGTACTTATAGTCCTACGTCCACAATTAGAAAATCTTCATGTTATATATATGCACTCACACGCGTATGAACATCTAACTACGAATTAATGAAAAGTAATAAGCACTAATGTAGACTACTAATCACCTTGAGCCACTTATGTGCTACACTTTTATAACCAGTTGCCAACAGAATGGCATCAAAACTCTGTCGGGCCCCGTTGTTGAACTCAACAGAGTTGGAGTTTATCCTCACTATTCCTGGAAAAACCTGTCAAATATTAAGACCAAATTAAATTAGGGATAATCGTAAGAACTAACTTGCCATTGTTACCAAAGTAACTAGTAACGCTTATGTAACAGTAACACTGGTAAAGTAACATAAACAAGTAAAAAGGCAAGAGCTAATTTGGATCGATAAACATATAATATAGAATTTGTGGAGTAGTTTAGTTTTTATTTTCCGTTTTTAGTGTTTACAAATACAATTTACATGTAAATCAATATTAAAATTAAAAATTCCTCCAACCCTACATTCATCTTAACTTGTCAACACATGCATACGCATGCATGTGTGCAGTTACAAGTAAAACTTGTCTTTGAACAACAGTTATAAAAATTTAAGGGTAAAAGACTGTTTACTATCCTCATGTTTTGTGGTTTTCAACATTTAGTACATCAAGTTTTTTTCGTCTCAGATTCATACCTAAAGTGTAAATTTTGGAACAGTCTCGTACCGTTAGTCAAACTGTTAAACTTGCCGTTAATTGTGACGTGGCGCCATGACTGGGCACCACGTGTCATCCACGTTTTTTTCTTTTCTTTTCTTTTCTTCTTTCTTCTTCTTCCTTCTTTTGCAACTTTTTTTTTCTTCATCCTTCTTCTTCTTCCTTCCTCCTTCTTCCTTCCCCTTCTTCTCCTTCTCCGTCTTCTTCTTCTTCCTCCGAATCTGGGGAAGGTTTTTTTTTTTTTTTTTTTTTTCCTTCTTCCTCCTTCTTCCTCTTTCTTCTTCTTCTTCTTCCGAATCTGGGGAAGATGAAGGTTGTTTTTTTTTTCTTTTTTTCTTCTTCTTCCTCCTCCTTCCTCCTTCTTCCTTCTTCTTCTTCTTCTTCCTCCGACTACAACTTTTTTTTTCTTCCTCCTTCTTCCTCCGTCTTCTTCTCCTTCTTCCTTCCTCCTTCTTCTTCTCCTTCTTCCTTCCCCTTCTTCTCCATCTTCCTTCTTCCTTCTTCTTCATCTTCCTCAAAAAAAAAAAAACAAAACCTTCATCTTCCCCAGATTCGAGGAAGAAGAAGGAAGAAGGAGAAGAAGGGGAAGGAAGAAGGAGGAAGGAAGAAGGAGAAGAAGGAGGAAGAAAAAAAAAGTTGCAGTCGAAGGAAGAAGAAAGAAAAAAAAAAAAAAAAAACTTCCCCAGATTCGGAGGAAGAAGAAGAAGAAGGAGAAGGAGAAGGAAGAAGAAGGAAGAAGGAGAAAAAGGGGAAGGAAGAAGGAGAAGGAGGAAGAAAAAAAAATTGCTGAAGAAGGAAGAAGAAGAAAGAAGAAAAGAAAAAAAAAACGTGGATGACAAGTGGCGCCCAGTCATGGCGCCACATCACAATTAACGGCAGATTTAACAGTTTGACTAACGGATGTATGAGACTGTCCCAAAATTTACACTTTAGGTATGAATCTGAGACGAAAAAAACTTGATGTACTAAATGTTGAAAACCACAAAACATGAGAGTAGTAAACAGTCTTTTACCCAAAATTTAAATACACACTGTTTTTTAAATCTCTAGTTAGAGCTGCCTAGATGCTAGTTGTCTTGCTACCGCCCTCTAAATTTTTGAAAATTAAGAAATTGCGCCTAGACCTATCTAAGCACTGGCATAGGGCGTGCCTAGGTTGCGATTCTCACTTAAACAGAAAATAGAAAACTTTTATTTTGATTTAAATTTTTTCAATAAAAATTGTAAGAGACTTGTTGAATATTTGGATACTTTATAATTTATATATTATATCCCAAATTCCCAATACAATTATGTATTTTTTAAATATAAGTAGATATTTATTTATATGATATATAATCAATTTAATTCAAATAAAATAAAATAAAATAAAAACCGCCTAGGCCCCCACCTAGACGCTTAGGCACTAAGCCCCTGCATGTCAATCGACTAGCACCTAGCACCTTGTAGAGTCTTGTAAATATATAAGTGTACATAAATGACTGTACCGAAGTATATTAAATTGACTTGTTTGTATAGAAATGCCCATAGCTAAATGTTTGTATTGAAATGTCTGTATCTAAATATTTGTATCAAAGTATATTATAATGAATTAGTGTACCTAAATGTTTGTACCGAAATGTCTGTATCAAACTATATTATAATTAATTTGTGTACCTAAATGTTTGTACCGAAATATATTTTAATGAGTTAGTGTACCAAAAAGTCTAAATGTATTATAATGAATTAGTGTAGACATAGAAAAAGAAAAATTATAAAAATTAAATAAATAAAATGACATGGAATATAAACTTTGGCATTTAAATAAAACCAAGCGTCTAAACTCACTTTTGAATCTTTACTAGGCATTAATCTAAACTTCATCTTAATTAGAGATTAAAATATAGTTTTCTATAATATAAAATAAAAATAAAACAAAAAAACTGAAAACCTTGATCTGTTTGGATCGAATTTTGTTGATGGTTCCACGATCAATCACTGGCCTCTTTCCAGTAAGTGCTTTAAAGAGAAAAGGGCCTTGGTCCGGGCGATGAATGCCATAGCTGGACAAATCCTGATACCTAAACTTGGCAAGGAATGAGACAAACTTGTCCACTATTTTCACTGGCAAGTAATCCAACAGAAGCATTCCTATAGCTACCATCTCTTTGCTGAGGACATGCATCTGCATGCAACATCACCCAACACATAATTACAATTAAATATATATATATATATATATATATATATACATATATATATATGTATGTATGTACGTATGTATGTGGACACACACACGAGATATATGTGTTCTTACTTGGCTTCTAATAACAAGGGATGCATGCGCTCCATTGTCTGCAAGGTCGTTGCTAATTTCCATACCAGAGTTTCCACAGCCAATGACCAAAACTTGTTTGTCTTTAAAACTTTCCCCGTTCTTATAGTCGCATGCATGAACAACTTTTCCTGTGAATGACTCAAGTCCAGGCAAGTCCGCCGGAATAATAGCCTGGTTATTTTCTCCTGTTGCGACAACCAAGAAATCTGAAGAGTAGTACTCGTACTGGTCCGGACCAGTCACTTTCACCTTCCATATCTCCTCATCTTCATCGCAAACAGCGGAATCCACATGACGACAGTAACGAGGTTTCACGTTAAACCGTGAGACATACTCATCTAAGTAGGCGATGAAATCGTATTTGGACATGAAGGTGGAAGTCCTGAAGGAGTGTGGCATGAGTGGCAAAGAGCAGTACCCCTTTGCTAAGTGAAGATTGAGACGATCGTAGGACCGTTTCTTCCAAAGGGAAGCGCAACAGTCTTCCCTTTCAAACAGAAGGTTTGGTACTGAATGGGAGTTGAGCAATGCGGACGTCGCAATGCCAGACGGACCAGCACCTACTATCACAACCGACACATGATGATGATCACTCACAATATCATTATTTTCACTACTATTAGGGTTACCGTTGGATGAGGCAGACATGGGAGCAGTGTTTGGACCGTGAAGAGAAGAAGAAGACGACATTTTTGACACAGCACGAGCTCGAGAAGGAGAAGAAAGACGCAACTACCGAAATACAGCTGACAGTATGCCTGGAATAGGAAAGATTTGGAGCGATTACATGCAATAGTGAAAGAATTAAGCTAAGTAATCAAATGAGGCAAGAGAGATCTTAGGAGATTTGGCTTGAGAAAACATCTTCTCTGAAACTATCCAATATTGTATCCAGATCACTATCCAATATTGGAATGAAGAACTGGACTCAACTGAGCGTACTATATAAGGACCAAGAAGCTGGCTAGGGTACCGATATGAAATTATTAATATATTAAACAAATTAATGCCACCGTTTCACCGTCCGCTTGTTGAAGCAAGGTGTCTTCTCAACGCTCATGGTGACGAAATCTTCATTTGACTATTCACTGGCTACAAGGATTTGTGACCAACGCTTAGATTAGATTGTTTATTTTATTTTCTTTCAATGTATCTTATATTTGTTTCTTCAATTAATCAGTTTGCCAATTAGTTGGTCGCTTATTAAGGAAGGGATATTTTAATTGGTTGCCTTACATAGATGATTTGGTATTATCATCTCGGAGTTAAACATAAGTGGCGTTCACACCTGAGATTTTACACTACGTACAAAAAAAAGAAGTTGTAATAACCGCATATATATCGTGACCAATATTGCTGCCAATCAAATAGAGTTACTCACAGAAAATCGTGCTTACCAGTCAAACAGTGTCAACTTTGAGCCTAATATGTAGGAGAAAATTATAAAATAAGGAAGTATGAGAATATGTCTAGGTTTGGAAAAAAAACTATACGCCGTATTTATAAAGGTCAAAGATCTGTTGTCCCTTTTTTGTGTCTCTCATTGTGTCTCCTTACTAATATATTGACACGTGTCATGGACTTAACTAAAAGATAACTCTGTTAACTTTTTATCTATTTAAACATTTAAAAAAAATATAAATATAATGAAATACGCGTACGTAAGCGTATTTGTAGATCCGGCGTTTCTTCTTCTCAGACTATCATGTCTCAAACACCTGTAAAACCCAACCATCTGAATCTCTACCCTCATAATCTGCAATAAGAACACCATTGTCCCTCCACTTAACTCTTAATTAATACTGTTAACTATCATATATCACTAGTCACTAGTACAAAAAATACTTTGCGTGACGTAGGTCATTCGTCGCACAAAGTCAAAAAAATGTCGCGCCAAAATTTGCGCGACGAACCTTCGTCACGCGCCAAGCCTGTGAAAGCAAGGTTTGCGTGACGAAGAAGTTGCATGCGTCGCGCAAAGTCTCTTTGCATGACGCACAACCCTACGTTGCGCAAAGTGTCTTTGTGCGACGCACAATCCTACGTCACGCAAAGTGTCTTTGCGCAATGCACCATTACACTTTTTCGTCATGCAAACTATTTTTTCACTAGTGAAAAAACTACATAATAAAGAAAAATAAAAACAAACATCATGCTTGGATCACACCCATTAATTGATTGATCCCAGTTTACGAAAATAGGAGATATAATCGATTGAAGAACCTCAATAGAACACAGACAATTGCTTGGATCAAACCTATTAACCAAAAAAATTATCCAGAATCAAAAATTGAAAAAAAAGGAGGTACTTGCCAGGATTAGAAACAAACAGAAGCAGTAAATAAACAACAGCAACCGACCCAACAGCGAACTCCCACCAACCTAGCCCCGCAGCACCGAAATGGATCTAATAAATGGATAAAAAATCAAACTGAATTGCAGCCATAAAAAACTGTCGAGAAGAGACAACCTTTCTCTCGTAGGCGAAGCCGTATTTGCGTTCTTCGTTGTCACTTAGGATCGATTCGAATTTGGGGGTTCGTCTTCGTAGTCGCATCGTTTCAGATTTTTCCTCTATCGATCAATTATATCTTCCATTGAATTTCTGTTGCATCTGTGTTCTATTGTCCGTGTTCAATCGATTATATCTCCTTTTTGGGTAAACTGGGAAGATAACCGTTTCAGATTTGCCTGTATCTTTATGGAAAGTTAACTGGATGTTTGTTTTTATTTTTCTTTATTCTGTAGTTTTTTTAACTAGTGATATATGATAGTGTTGACCCTAGAAACTACCAAGCCTACGTGGCACGCAGGCCGAGTAATCTATAAGCTAACTACGTCCTTCGGTGAATGCGGGGTGTGCCAACTCGTCGGCCGAGCTCGGCCGAGGAGTAAATTTTGTTGATGTTGCGTTGGGTGCGCGGCTGACTTCTGCGTCTTGCGATTGCGGCCGAGAAAGGAACACCTCTCGGCCTCTTGGGCTCTCGAACCTGAAGACAAGGTTACTATTCTTACGAAGTTCAATATCAAATTCGGCTTTCAATGTGCCGAATGTAATAACTGTAACACCTCACTTTGCCGAGAAGGCTGATGAGATGACCTCGACCAATAAGGATTCAGAAATCCTTCTCGACCGAGACTTGGATAGGTAATCAACCGTCCTCGCCGCAGTGCTGTTGATGCCAACGGAAGATGCTGCGAGACCGGCTGATTCTACGGTGGCAGAGCTATCTATGCCGACTTAAGATATCACCGGTTGCTTCCACAGTGCTGTTGATGCCAACGGAAGATGTGTCAGCGAAAAAGAAAGAAAAAATCTCAAGTTGTTGAGTTTGCGCAGGGCAGTTTTGTATTGATTTGCAGGAGATCTGAATGATGCGCAGCCTCTTCTATTTATAGCAACGGCTCCCCCCAAGGTCGAGTTAAAAACCTACTCGGACTAGGTCTTCTTCTCCTGATCAGCACCAACTCGACCAGTCCTACTTTCACCAGGATTGTGAACCTAGTCCTTAACCGAGCCGGATTCGCCTCCGGGTCTTGCCGAGACTCCTCATTGCATTAGGACTCGACTTCTTGCGTTATGACCTAGCCGACCTAGGTTTGGAGGCCCACGTACTAAACGATCCATGGTATTCTTGTCGCAAGGCCTTCCGGGCCAAGGATGATCCTACCTTCGGCCCAAACTATTATTTTGGGCCCAAACAGATAGTTAACAGTATGAATTAAGAGTTAAGCGGAGGGACAATGGTGTTGTTATTGCAGATTATGAGGGTAGAGATTTAGATGGTTGGGTTTTACAGGTGTTTGAGACATGATAGTCTAAGAAGAAGAAACGCCGGATCTACAAATACGCTTACGTACGCGTATTTCATTATATTTAGATTTTTTTAAATGTTTAAAAACATAAAAAGTTAACAAAGTTATCTTTTAGTTAAGTCCATGACACATGTCAATATATTAGTAAGGAGACACAATGAGAGACACAAAAAAAGGGACATCAGATCCTTGGCCATTTATAAACGGCGTTGAAACTAAGAACACGAAATACATAATTTTAAATAGTAAAATCTAGGGATGGGATTTCACACTTTATCGCCGCCATCCTTAAACGGTTGCCCGCCAAATCCTTTTGTCTGCGTGTCTACAAATCCTGGTGCTCACTAATTAAAACCCAAGTTTCTTTCAAGCCCATCTCAAGAAAAATTGATCCATATTCCAATCTAACCTCAGAACGAGCACCAGCGTGATTCTGTCATGTTGTTGTGACACCCTTTTTCAATGCCCACTTCGCCACTCCACCACCGAAGGTCCAAAACCAACAAAAAAAAAATACAGAACCCCAACTGATGCCGCCACCACAACCAAACCCAACAAGAAAAATACAGAACCCCAACCACCCCTTCAGATCACACCATGCGTGGAGATTCGCTCCCTCCTCCTGCAAAGATCGTTGTCGCCTTTCAAATCTTCAGGCTCTCCCTTCAAACCATAGTTTTACTCCTCCACTTTTTCTCTCCCGCACCCTACTTTTCCCGTTTTAATTTTGATTCAGTTTCTTTTTTAAGTTGTCATATATTTAAACACACATGGTGTGCGACTTTTATCTAGTATTATTTTAATGTTTGTGTCTTTTTTTCAGGGAAAGAATGTTACCGAAAAGTCTGGCCACGTGTGCGAATCATAAGTAGTTATATTTAAAGTTGAAATGGACGCCGACAAATTCCCAACAATATCAGACAAGATACTTTTCTCTCATGGAAACGGTTACCCTAGTGCCCTAGTGAGATGAATTGGCTTCAAAGAGGACACAAAATGTATTCAAAACTACATATTAATAAAATTTTGTTTATCAACCAAAAACCAATGAAATTATAATTATTCTCTTTTATACATAATTGAAATTACAAGTTTTTTCTATTTTTTCCTTCCTCACACACATGTAACCATTTATATGATGACCCGTCCCTAATTTTCTATGTAATTTCCCTCCCCGAGTAATTGAATTGACATTTATGCCCTTGTTGGCAAGTGACGTGGACGTATTTATTCGCTCTTAAATTATTATTCTCACTATCGTAATTAAATTGTACTCGTTGTTACGAGTGTATCTTAATTTTATTAGTGTTAGAAACACTGTTTCAGATAGATTTTCTGTTTTGCTTTTACTGTAGGAAATATGAAAATCCTATCCTTTCTTCTTTAAAACCAGACCCGTGCCATTTCCTTTCACCCACCAATCAATTTTCTTCCCACTTTCCTGCACCTAATCAAATCAGTCACTCTATCCTCTCTCTCTTTCTCACTGAGCTATCTCCTATCTGTAACAATAAAGACCTTCATCAGTCTTCGCAGATCAAGCTCACAAGCACCATAACCATACTTCTCTCGACCTTACAAGCACAACCATACCACTGGATCATGAGTTGATCGAGTTTTGGATGTCGAACTTGGAAGGTCCGAACTCAGTGAGTTTGAGTTCAACGTTTTTAGACCGAGTCGAGGAGTTTTGAAGGTCAGAGAAGCTCTCTTACAACTCCCCAAGATTCCTAGACTAATTTTGGTGAGGAGTTGACGTAAAAAACACGAGATTTCGAAGAGTTGAGTTTTGGCCGTACATTTCGAGGCATTTTTAGGCCACCTTCGTCCACTTTTTGAACTCCAAAAAGGTATAACGCGATTCTACTCTTCAT